TGTGAGTCATGCAATCGATTGCACCAACATGTAAATCGATTGCACATAAGTAAAAATGGATTTTTTGCTTAGAAAACTTGAGAAAAAGTTTGGACAAGTTTTAAACACTTCTTTTGATCATTGAGCATCTAAGACTTAAATTCATAGCAAGATTTGTTATTATACCTTATGAAATTTGCCAAGAGCTTAAATTAAAGACTTTTATCCAATGATGCTTTAGCTTGATCAACATCTTTGCCTTCTTGCCATTATGGTTTGTCTTCATCAAAACAAAGTTCATTGAGAGGCTTGATATTACAATGTGTACTTAAACTCTCTATCTTATGACGACAGACTCTTCATCTACTTCCTCGTGCATCATGTAAGGGTCAACCTGCCCCAGATCATCTTCAACTATCTTAAGGGCTCAATTACTGCTTCCAGGAATAAACATCAGTCCTTTATCTCTTTTGGAAGAGTCTTATCTGCAATTTTTATAGGGTTGGAATCGTTGGTGAAGTTCGTCGTGTTAGTCTTGCTGATGCTCTCTTGGATGTAATATGTGAAGTTCTTGATGTGTAGTTGGTTAGGTGGCCATCATTTTTGTTTCTTGTGTTGTATCCTTGGTGTTGTTCTGGCTATTGTATTTTGTTTTCACTTGAGTGTATTGTGTTTATACTCTTTTGTATTTCAGTAAATAAAATTTTGTTTTGTGCTAACTTATTCATATTTTCATTCTGGTATAATGTGTGCTAACATACCTTAATGTTCATTTCCATGAAGTTATCTCAAACATCTATATTTTATTTCAATGAAAATTTTACTTTTTATTAGAACTTAATAATAGTTTTTCTTTTGTTTCTAAAACAATTGTATCTTTATCTTTTTGGTCTTTAATGAAAAATAATTTTGTCTTTTAAATCCTTTTTTATTTCTGACCAAAGGGAGAAAGAGTATGTGATTTTGATAGTACTTAATCTCACATCTCAAACCCAAACTGATATAATTCTTTTATTGCTAACAATTTGTTTGGTGTTTGATTCAGGAACTTTGCAAAAGTTCATTGGTTTTCATAGACACGTTAATTGGCTATCAGAAGATTATCATCCGTCAACCAGAAGATCAAGATCAAGATCAAGATACAAGAAGAATTCTCCTATGAGCTTAACACCTGAGAACATGTATTTGTTAGACGTTGTGAATTGTCTAAAATGAATCATGATGCGACACTGTGTTTTGGTCAGAGGTTTCTGACTAAGATAAAGGTTGAAATAGGCTATAATATTATCTATTGTTCAGAAGTAGTGAACTTCTTGAAAATATGGTTAATCATACTTTGATTCACCTACTTTTCAGAAGTTGCAAACTCTCTGAAAGTAATGTAATAATGCGTTGATAAAACCTATTGTTCAAAAAGTTGAGAACTTTATGAAAATATGGTTAAATCAAGCTCTTAAACTCCTATTTTCAAGAAGTTGTGAACTCTCTGGAAGTAAGGAAATCATGTGTTGACAATACATGTTGTTTAGAAGTTGTGGGCTTTCTGAAAATATGGTAATCATACTTTGTCACTTCAGAAGTTGTGAACTGCCTAGAAGCTTAACAAAGTTAATGTGTTACTTATCATTCATTTCAGAAATTTTGAACTATCTGAAAGAATGCCAACGTGTGCTTTGGCAACTTTTTCTCCGCTATCATGAGACTGCTCAGAAGTTATAAACTGTCTGGAAGTTTTGTAACCAGGTTACATGTTACCAAATTATGATACTTCAGAAGTTATGAACTTTCTGCAAGTATAGTAAGTCTGTTGGTAACCGAGCTATATTCAAAGGTTGTGAACCTTCTAAAGACATGGTCAGATGACATGTTCAGAAGACATGGTCTAAAGACATGTTCGAAAGATATGTTCTAAGACATGTTCGGAAGACATGGTCTAAGACATGTTCTAAGACATGTTCTAAGATATGGTCTAAGACATGTTCTAAGACATGTTTGAAAGACATGGTCTAAGACATTGTCTAAGAAATGTTCTAAGACATGTTCAAAAGACATGGTCTAAAATACATGGTCTAAGACATATTCTGAGACGTGGTCAGAAGACATGTTCGAAAGACATGGTCAGTCAAGAAAGGACTCAGGTGTTGAACATTCTGATGACATGATGTTGTGCACCTTCTGGTGGCACAGTTTTAATTTATGGAAGAACCAATGTGTGAGTTCTGGTGTTTGATGCGAGTCATCAAGACAATGACTAAACATGTTCTAATGCCTCATATTGTTATGATAACAATCCAAATTTTGAGATGAATGTCAGGTATTTCTAGTCAGACTCTAATGAGACATCAATGGAGAAGTATTCATTCTCTATGTTATCTTGTGTACTGCAAAATTCATTTTGTGATTCTTGGACTCAGGGGGAGACCGTGAACAAGCTTTAATAGAACTTTGAGTATTAACAGATTCAGGGGGAACTAGTTAGCTTTACTGAATTTGTGTTCCATGGTGGTTATCCTATATAAATTATTCTATCAAAATACATGATTTTGTCATCATCAAAAAAGTGGAAATTGTAAGAACAATATTGATTCTATATCTGGTCTTATGTTTTGATGATAACTTTATATGTTATCTTTAAGAATAATTGTGTACTCTAACGATTTCTATCTAGTGTGTGACTTTTTATAAATACGTTCTGACTCTGGTAGGAAGGCATGTGATATCATCAGGTTTTGAACTCAACACTCTGGAAGAATACCTTCGGTGTGTTACAAGTTAAGTTAAGATTAATGAATGCTTCTTATGCAATGGCTCTAAGGAACGTTAGTAAAAGAGCTTCTGAACGTGACTTATTCAAAGAAGCTTTGGAGACCTTCTAAATTTTTACATCTGTTGTTCCAAGTTCTAAAGATGATGAAGGTAAGGTTCTGTTGAACGAGTTCTGAAGATCTAAAGACATTCTTCTGAAGACCAAGTGCTGAAGACTCAGAAGGCAAGAGTTCTTTGAACAAGTCCTGTAAGATTCTAATAACTTAGGTTCTGAAGATACATAGTTTTGATTCTTCTACAACATGCTTCATCCACAAACATATTAGAAGCCTTTGAAGACATAGAAGATGAAGATCAAGACTAAGGGATTGCGTGTGACAGTATGTATAAAAGTACAAAAGTACACTGTGACCTCTACTCTCTAGAGTGATGCAAGGACAAATCTTTTTGTACTATTGTCTACCAGTCTCACCATGACCGTTGGGAACAATACAACTGTATTTATAATTCCTATTCTAGCCTCCAATGGATCTCTTCTTTTCAGTTATAAAAGAAGTGCTTGGAAGAATTTGAAATTAACGAATCAATTCTATAAAACTACACTAAACCGTTGCACAAAAACTGTATAGAGAAATTCCTTGTATAGTTTTGTGAATAAGCAAGGAGCTTTGGTTCGTATCTTGCTATCAACATTTTTGTGTTGTTGTACTTAAACATTGTGTAATCTGCTTGTGTAGAAGCATCTTGTATACACATCTTTGTAATCAACTGTTGTTAATAGGTTCCTTGAGAGACTATGTGTAATATGGATTCTCAAGAAGACTTTGGTTGCAGTCATAGTGGTTTGCAATAAGGATCAACAGACTTATTAGGGGTTCCAATAGGGTTGATCAAATTTATTATGATTGTCTGTAATCTGATTGATTATAGTGGATTAAGTCCTCGCGTATGAGGCATATCACTTTGCGGGATAGACTGCAGTAATTTAGTTAATAGTGAACCAGAATAAAAATAATTGTGTTAATCTATTTTTATTCACTTGTTATCTTTGTGTTTTGTGTTGCAAAAAAATTATATTTAGTACAATCCAATTCAAACCCCTCTTTTTTGTGTTTTTGGCAGCTTCAATGTGTTCATTAAAACTATGCACATTGGTCCTTTTTTTGGTGTTGTTGACAAGCTAGAATTACTTTGACATCAGTAAACTTAGTTCGAGGAGGACTGTTAGCATTTAATTTTATTTTTATTTCTGTTTGTATTTGTGTAAGTTTGTTATTTTATTTCTATTTTTATTTGTGTTTGTTACATGTTTATCTAGTTTGTAGTATATATGATATAGGTTAATTCATGATGTACATTTCAACTTTTTTTTCAGATTAATACAAATATTTTCTTTTTATTCTTTTGTCTCTCTCAATGAGAGAATTGATATGATTCATGGCCATATGTTAACACTCTCAAATCTCAGTCAAAAAGATTTAACATTGTTATAGTTTTTGGTTGGTTTTGAACCAGCAACTCTCGCCAAGCCGGAAGAGATTACTATCATCTCATCTAAATCTTAGTATGCATTATAATCTAAGTGACATGTATTTTGAATGTAAAAATTATTGCTCATATGTTCAATCATATCTTATATTAAAAAAAATATCTCTCAATTGTTTAATGATATCCAATTAGCAATCAAAACTCCCCGTGGGTGCAAGGTCGGTACTACTTACATACTGCATTTAGAACAAAGTAAACTTTGAGGTTCGAAGTGATTGCAACAGTTTTGTTACTATAAATAAAAGTAACAAACAAACAATATCAATTACAAAAAACAAACAACAAATAGTTTGTTCATATTTAATGCTAGAAAACATAAGTTGAAACAATGATACAAAACTTATAACAGACAAACACACTACTAGCTGCTTATGTTTTCAGCTAGTTTTATTTATTCTCTCTCTATCATCCATTACTTCATAACATACCTATCTACCAAAATATCTCCCCATAGAAAATACAAAAATACATACTCATTGTAACCAAAAAAAAAACAAACATACTCATTAACTTACCTGATTAATTTCTATGCACCGACGATATAAAATTTTCTCGACACATACATCCGATCAAATCAGATTGTCATGTCTCTTGATTGGATGTACGTGTTAAATAGTTTTACATTGTCGATGCATACAAATTAAAGCATTCAGTTAACTCGCCCCAATCAATACCTATATATATAAAAGATGATATCAATTCAACTTCTAAAGCTTGAGAAACACAAACTCCTCAACGGCAGGGACAGCTCCAATGTTTTCAAGAGCTTCCTTATTTGGTTCTTCATCGACACCGATTGCCATAATAGCTTTCTGGCGGCGAGATGTTCTTCCAACACTCATAAAGCTCACATTCACATTTTGTTGGCCCAATATGTTTCCGACAAGACCGATCATCCCAGGTTGATCGATCTGTCTGCACAAAATCAGATTCCCTTCTAAGCTAACATCGACACCGAAAGATCCAACACATGTAAGATGAGGTGTACCATACTTCACTTTTCCATCAATGCTTATCTGACCCTCAGATACAGCACTAGCGAATTTGGACTCCACATTCGATATCTGTATCTGGATTGACTCAACAGGTAGCTCAAGCGACGAATCAACAGCGACTTTTTCCTCGCTTATGCGAAGGCCTCTTTGCTTTGCAATGTAATCCGCATTAACAAGGTTGACAATTGTGTTTGATATGGGTTCAATGACACCTTTTATGATCATGGCGCGGAGTAGTCTAGTATCTAGATTGTCAGGGCCCCTAGCCGATCGGTAAACCACTTTGATCGACTGGATTCCGCTTCCTCCGGATACCAACTGCACTGCTAACCGCCCTAGCTTCTCAGCCAAAGCAACATATGGAGCCAGTTCTGATAACACCTGATGTAAAAGAAGAACAATGCACATAAATCATAGATTTTACGAGGTTCGACCAATGTGACTTATGGCTAAAACTAACTCGCTAATTCACGAGAGTAAATATAAATTTACCTCCGGAGCAACCATAGGAGCATTGACAGCAGTTGCTGAAAGTTCACCATTCAATGCACCAACAACAGCTTCTGCTATTTCAATAGCCACACCTTCCTAATGTGTCGAAATTGGTGAGAAAAAAACTTGGTAAGAAAATGATGTGTCCTAAAAGTAAGGAAAAAAAAGAAAGAAAGTTACTATATGAAGAAAAAGAAACCTGTGCTTCTTTGGTGCTGGCTCCAAGATGAGGTGTAGCAATCACATTCTCATGTTGCACCAACTTACTGTCTTTGGCCGGAGGCTCCTCGGTGAACACATCAAGCGCTGCCTACTCCATCCACATGCAATATAATAGCAACCATGATAATATAGTAATTCAAGGAACATGTAATATATATTAACAAAGTTCATAGCTCTGTATGAACTGGCCCAACACAGAGATAGTTAGCAGTTAAGGAATATGTGAATTGAAGTAAAAGGGCTAACCTGAGCAACAATTCCGCTATCAAGTGCTTTGACTAAAGCATCTTCATCAATAACACCACCTCTAGCAACATTGATGATTCTCACACCTTTCTTCATCTTAGCAAAAGCTTTGTCATTAAAAACTTTGTTAGTAGTTGGAGTGAGAGGCATGTGAAGTGAGATGAAATCAGCAGTTGTGATTGCTTGATCAAATGAAACCAATTCCACACCAGCAGCACGTGCTCTATCAGCTGGAGCATAAGGATCATGTGCTATCACATTCATTCCTAACCCTTTTGCACGTCTTGCAACTTCAGATCCAACTTTTCCAAATCCCATTACTGCTAATGTTTTTCCAACCATTGATACTCCCACATACTTGCTTCTTAGCCATTTTCCTGCAAGATTCATCAACTAACACATCTTAGTCGTCAGATCTCAAATCTAACAACACTAGAAACTCACGCAAACAACTGTGAGGTCCCGACCCAAGACAAAATGTCCAGCCAATATTGACATTTGCTTTGAGTTAGACCTTCCAGACATTTAAAGATTATTCAATAAAGGTGTATATGACCTAAACATCTTAGATCAATGGCCGAGATCATGTAGTTATTACTTATTAATGCAGGAAAACCAAATCCGACTTTGAATATATCTCAAGCAAGCAATCTATCAAAGATCACGACGCGGCCACAACACAATTTTGAACTCAAGCATTAATAGTATTAAATTATGCATATATAGAAACATACATCTAGAAACTACTAGTACATGTTTGGTATCTTGTTGAAATCACTATCAGCCACCCTGATCTGCAGAAGACACACTACTTAGCTTATGCATACCAGAGTGGTTCACGTGATTTCAACAAATCATTTCGACAAACCATCTGTGAAACAAAACATACGCTTGATCTCGATGTAAATTATTAGAACAATGAGTGTATGTTCGGTATCACACTAAATTTGTTGAAATCACGGTAAACCATTCTGGTATACAGAAGACATACTATGTAACTTGTATATACCAGAGTGGTTCACGTGATTTCAAAAAATCAAATATACACTTGATCTGGATTGTACCGTACCGGCTTTGAGGGAAGCATCAGCCTGAGAAACATTACGAGCCATGGCAGCAAGGAGTGCAATTCCATGTTCTGCAGCAGCAATAGTATTAGCAGTAGGAGCATTCACAACAAGACAACCAAATTCAGTAGCAGCTTGTAGATCCACATTATCAATCCCAACACCAGCTCTACCAACAACTCTCAGCTTCCCTTTACCAGCTTCAAACACTTTCCTCGTAACTTTGGTACCACTTCTCACAATCAAAGCATCACAGGTAGAGATCTTGGTGCAAAGCTCTTCAGGTGAAAGGTCATAAGCACACACCACGTTTCCTAGTTTTCTCAAAACTTGTAAACCTGCTTCTCCAAGCTTCTCGGAGACCAAGATCGTTGGTTTTTCGTTTCCAACAACAACGTTGTTGGAAATGGTTTGTTTTGTTTGGTCAACGGTTTTTAAAACACTGTTGACCACAAAACAACGTTGTTGACATGAAAGTTTAATGATGTTGATGTCGTTGGGTTTGGTTCCAAAAGTGTTGGAGCTTAGGAATGAGAGATTGGGGATTTTTGAAGATCTTGATTTTGAAGAGGATGATGAAGAAGAAGAGAACAAAGGTGAAGGGAAGATTGATTTGGTAGAGGCTGAAGAAGCCATGGATGTTCTGTTTTTTTGCTCTGTTTTTTTTCTTCTGTTTTTTTGTTCTGTTTTTTTTTTGTTATGTTTTTTTTGATGATTGAATGAATGTGCTATGTTTTTATGATGGGGTTTTGTAAAGTTTTTTGAATAGTGATTTGAAGCATTGATTATTTAGAAATGCTATATATAAAATATAAACGTATAATAAAATTTCTAAAAAAAAAATAAATAGAGCAATAATAGCAAAGAAGGTGATGTGAGGCAAATGAGAGATTTTTCTTTGATTTGGGGTTTTGGTGGTTGGTGGAGGGTTTTGGGTTTTTTTGAGTAAGTTGGTGGAGGATTTTACTCATGCTATTTGTGTTGAATAACTATAACCATTAAACTTTTATTTATTTTTGGATATATTGAATAATCATTCATCTCTTCAATAAAAAATACTATATTTTATTGGAGGATTAAAATATATAGAAATTGATTGTCTACCATCAAAAGTTACACTACTATTAGTATTCATAGTTTTATATTAAATGTGAAATTCTTTTTATATATTTGAGTAATGGTTACATGTTCAAACTTATAATATTTATTTATTTATTTTAAGAGATGAAATAATGTCCATCAAAATATATATATATATTTAAAAATTAAGTTTGTATAGTTAAATTTATGTTATTATAAGTTTTAAGATGGTATGAGAACTTTACCCAATCATACAATTTAAAAGTTAGTTTTATTTTGAATTAAATTTTGTTAAGTATTTGACTTTAAAATCAGGTGAACAAGTGAGTTATTATGAGTTCAAAGTTGTAATTTTATATTTATTGATGTTATATAATTATTAACTGTGATATTTTAATAGAATATCTAACTTAATTTGTTATTTTAGAATTTAATTTAGAGAGTCTAAAACATTTTGATTTTACATGTGATTTTATTGGTGATCAGAATCTGTAATGGGTTGATATTTGCATCTGTAATATTAAAATTAAAGTAGAAAGTGGTGTATCTGCAAGACATTCTGATGTTCAAGTAAGTAAGAGTCCAAAGGGACACAAGAGAGAATACAAAGTTTTTTTAGTAGAATATTGGATACCTGACACTCACAAGTGCGGGGGGTTATATAATGCCACTGGCGCTTGACCATTGATCCCTATTTTTTGGCTTGGATATCAGGTTCCCAAAAAATAGATAACTATCAGGAACTAGATGTTGCCCCAAGCAAGGATGCGGTTATAGACAAGCGTGGTTCGGTTGTTCCTGGATGGCTTCCCGTGTGTGACAGACATAGTGAAACTAGCTTATTGATGCAGACAGAGGTACGATCAAGGGCAGCGATGGTCTTGTCGGTCCTGGGGCCAAACGATCATACGTGCTCGCCTGAGGGGCAGAAGGTGAAGATGTCTTATGCCTTCCCTACTGAATGGGCCAAAGCTATTGGGCGGTCCTGGACGCAAAAATGGATTGGACCATGCATAGCCATTGGGTCAGTCCGAAACAAGAGCCCCAAGTCGTTACTTTTGGTCATATGAGCGATGACTTAGACTCATCACGTGCATCGATGAGGAAAGGGCACGGTTGATGCCTACTGTTGGAGAAGGGGACATTATGTGACTCCCCGAGGATTCGTACGAGAAACCCAAACGCTGCCTTCTGTATTTGGCGCACGGAGAACCGAACGTGTGATTAGACTTGAAGAGGTTGTGTTTCACGCTTTCCTTGAGCCACGTGTTGCCATTAATGCACAATGATGGCCAGTCTAGGGGTTAGGATTTAATGATGATCCCTACGCTTCCCTAGGCTGGCGCGCGTGCACGTGATCTTAAGGGTCTTTATAAATAGAAGGGGTAGAAGACCATTTGTGTTTTTTGTTTCTCTCTCTTCTTCAACTCCTCTTGCTTTCAGTTTCTCTCGCTGCTGCTGCCGTTCATCACCGTCAACCGCCGTCGCCAAATCGTTCGACCATCGTTATAGTCTACCCGACCGCGTAAGTTTTCAATTTTTCCTTGCTTTAGGCTAGGCTTAGCTCTGTTTTTTTCTTCCAAAAATGCACGCAGGTAAGATGACTTAGTTGATGAGGGCGACTTTCCGGAGAGTGTTGGTGGTTGACGATGGTTGTGCCACTTCAGACGTTGGTGTCGATGAGAGACTATAGGCGAGTTAAGGATTTCCGTACCCTTGGCCATTTAGACGTCGTTGTTATGGTGATTGACGAGCCTGCTGTCGGTGGGGCCCATGAGTTTTCCGGTGGAGATCAATTGTTTTTTGGGTACATATGAGTTTTCAGATGAATATATGAAGTTTCTGAGGAATCTTCAAACGGAAATCTAGGGAATGTACTTGGGAGATTTTCCTCGTGGGGGTTTAAGGATTTGCCTATCAGGGAGGCTCCAGACTAATCGAGGAGGATCTTCGTGCATCTTTGCTTGCTGTATGAGTAAGGGCTTTGGACGAGGACATCGTTCTCGTGCCTTTGCACGCCCTTTCACTTGATTAAGGGTGGAAGGGTTGATTTGATTTGATTGTCAAATTCACTTTTGTCCTTTGCTTTTCAGGTAAAATGGCCATTAACGCCGAGGACGAGAACATGGTCAAGTTGAGTGAGGACTCCGAGGAAAAGTGGATAGCTCCAGAGCCCCGGGGGATAGTTCACTCTTTGTTTCCTTCCTCAGGGGGGCGTTTACTATCGTGGGAGAGAGTACGAACTCGTCAAACCCCAAGGAGGATTGGAAAGTTTTTTTCCCTGACGAGGATTTGGTTGCCCTTTATGGATCTTCAGGTGGCAGTCTTTGCCCATTTGGACCTGGTTCCCTCATAGCTTCATCCTAACTCGATAGCCTTTATTCGGGCATTCAATATCGTTTGTGATTTTCTCAAGATTGGGGCCACTATTCCTCTCTTCTTCGCCTGTTTTCACCTCCAACGACAATGCTTGGATAGACTGTTCGACTGGGTTTCCTTGAAGCAGATGACAAAGTTGTTTAAGCCATTCTCAGAGTCTATTTATATGTTCAAATAGAGGTGTTATAAGTTCGCCCTATGTCGGAGAGGGTCATTTCTTCTTCGTTCAGCTGGGAGGTTATGACAGATCTCCAAGGGAATCCTCTCCTTAGCAAGGACGGCAGGCGGAAAAGGCATCAGGTTCAAAGATTTCATTTTTCTTGGAGTTGAGATCACTTTGCTTGGATCAACTGAGTAAGAGGAAGAATCTTTCCCAGGATACTGCTACCATGATAAGGATCTTAGAACTGGCGGTGATTCATACCAAAGAGGGGACCCCGATTGTCAAGGAGGTGAAGGACGCTCGTGCGATCAACGTGGATCTCGAGGAGAGGATAGCCAAGCTGAAATCTGAGAAGAAGGCGCTGGAGGGGAAAAAGGCTAAGTTGGAAAAGTTGGTCGAGGGTGCGTCCAACATGAAAAATGCCCATGCTAAGGAGAAGAAAAGGCTTGAAAAGAGAATCTCTATTTTGGAGGTAGAAGCAGCACCGGTCGAGGACGAAGGCGAGGATTTGCAAACCTTGAAGATTTGTGCTGACCTGATTGCCCAAATTTGACTCCTCAAGGAGGATTGCCTAGCTGCAGGGGAGGAAGGTTTTAATAGTAATTTGGACCCGCTCAAGGTCAGGAATCCCGAGCTCGAGTTCTCCACTGATGGTACCGGGTTTTTGCACTCGGTGGTTTATGGTTGGATTATAGCTGCTGATTTCCTCAACCTTGGCGGTGGAGTCGAAGAGGAAGGGAACCCTGACTAGGGGAAACAGATGCCTGGGCCCCAAGCCACTCCTGCTGATAATTGATTGACTTGTGTATTGTTTTTTGTATGTTCGGCCTGCGCTCCATGACTTTGTAATATTTCTGGGACCTTTGTCCGTATGATGTAATATTTTGACAATTTCGGTCCTTGTGGTTATTAGCTTCATTATTTTTTACTGGAGGCTTCGCTCTCCTTATGTAGTATCCAGACAATCACGGTCTTCATGGTTGTTTGAAGTTTAATTTGTTTTTGTTTCCTCTATTTATTCGTGCATGTTTTGAGTTGTTTCATACGTTATTTTCACTAAGTTGTTTTGGGGTTTTGCTTGACAATTATTAATATTCGACAATGCGAAGAAATGGTCAAATGGACAGGGTAAATTTCCTAGCATAGGGTGGAGCTTAGGTCTCGTTTGGGTCCTGAGCTCTGTGTCATGAATGTCCCATCGCAAGTTGGGTGTTCTGCTATCGTGGTACGACGACGGTGGAACTCGTTTGAGTTTTCTCTATCAGACTAAGAATTTGCTCGTCAAAAGAGCAGAAACATGCCTTTTCGTTTGGGTTTGAGGTGTTATGCCTATACTGGAGCACACACGTGTGGTCGAGAATGCTCTGTTCGTCGTTTGTTAGAGATTTTTGACCTTTTTTGGTTTTTAACTGTAATATTGTTTTAGTTTTTCGGTGTTCCATGGTTGAGCAACTTGTCCACCGTGTAGATTTTCTAAGTAGTAAACCTTGTTCTCTATTTTTGTTCAGACACGATAGGGGCCTTCCCAGTTTGTGACGAGCTTGCCTTCGCGAGAGTCTTTTGATTTCTTCTTAAGATTAGGCTGCCGACTTCAAGTTCTTGTCATATGACCTTAGCGTCATGACTATGGCGATTCTTTATTTTAATGAGGCTTCACGCATGGCTGCTTCTGATTGAACCTCTTCGACAAGGTCGAGACCCTCTCTTAATGCCTCATCGTTCATATCTTCATCGAGAGGGGCTTCAGTTCTCCTGAAGGGCTCTCTGATCTCAACCAGGATTACCGGATATGTTTCGTAAGCTAGTCAGAATTGGGTTTCCCCGGTGGTCAAGTGAGGAGTTGTTCAATAGGCCCAAAGTATGATGTGTAGCTCCTCGACCCACTTCTTTTTTTGTTTCGTCTAGCCTTTAATTAAGGCTTCGCAGGATCACCCTATTTGCAACTTCAGCATGTCCGCTCGTTTGTGGATGCTCGGTGGAAGCGAAGTGCTGAATGGTGCCCAATTTGGTGATG